AATAAAAAATATTTAGAAAAAAATACACTTAATTGTTTTTAAACATATCCTTATTAGTCATTTAATATTAAACAACAATCGTTAACTATTGTATAACAAACAGTTATATCTATCAAATCCACTATCTACTATCCGCTACTCACTTTTCACTATCTACCATCTATTATCCGTTAACCGTCACCCATTACTCACTACCGCTATCCACTAAAACTGCTATACCAAACAGGCCCCTAGTAATGTAGGGAAACGCTAGGCAGTTAATAATCAAGAATAATTAAAATAAAGAATTAATAATTAAAAAAGGGGATCTATTGAAGATAATACAAAAGCTATGAGATTAATTTTCTTCTCCATATAGGTTCACTTATTGATTGGTAGATCTAAGTGAAAGATAGGTTATACATTTGAAATTAAGAAATTTATGAAAAAAATTTTATTTTTTATCAGTAATAAAAAATTTTTATTAACTAAGTTGTCATATCTTGCATGTGCCTAAAAACTTATTTTGAAAAATGATCTATTAACAATGTTTTCTAACAATTAAATCTTACAACATGATATAATGAAACTTTGATTGAATCTTTTAAGTTTTAAATTAGATGAGATACATGATATTGTATAACATTCATATGCTATATGGATATTGTGAGACATTTATTTATTTATTTTGATAAAGTGAGACTCTTATTGTTAAAATGTCAAAATCTTTGACTGTGGAGGAAACTAACAACATGAGCATAGTCCTATTAAATTTGTCCTTATATGCTGATATTACATAGATTGTATACCTATCTGCCAATTTGGGCTGGGCATCAGATATCAGTATATATGATATCTATAGATACTTGATTTATTTGGGTAATTATTTTACTTGTATATGTGAAGAGACAATTAAATATCGAGTATGAAAAATATATACCTACTAAATATCGGATAAGTATTAGGTATGAAAATCAACACTTACATACTTGACCCATATAACTAACATGTATATTTGACGTATATACCTAACCTATATACATGACTTGTATTATATACCCAACCCATATACTTGATTATATATTTATAATGCTTTATTAATTAATTATAGGAATATTATTTCAATTTACAATTTATGCATAAATTACTTAACTATAAAAGAATTTATAATATAATGATTATATTCAAGTTTTATATGCTTAGTTTGTAATATAATGTTAAAAAATTAAAATGTTTATGTTTTTTTTTTTCTTTTCTTTTAGCAATAAAGATTCAACTAAAGGAAAATCATATGGGTTTTGTTTGTATTTATTTTGTTATTGTATATATAAACTTATGTATATGTGACTGTATATACTCACGTATTTTTGTTTTATATATAAATTTATAGTTGTATATTAACTTATGTGTTTTTAGTATAAAATTTAACAAATATACAAAAATATCTGTCAATATACATGCACCTAACAAGTTAGGTAACGGATATAAATTTTCAATATTTAGGTAAATATTAAATATTAAAATCTTATATTTATCACTGTTCAAATTAAGTACAAATATGAGCAAAATCAGCAAAAACCTTGTCCATACATACGCATGCTCAGTGCTCACCGCTACTGCCAGCAAAATTTAGTTCCCGCATCAATGGTGCCAAAATCTAAAACGAAATCCATGCATGTTATAAGGTTAGCCTAACTATCTTCATACAAATTGGCCCACAGAGATCAAAGCCTCTATACTAAAACAAGCCCATGATACAAAACACAACCCAACCCAGAGTGGGCCATAAACAATACCCAAACCTGTCTTGGCGGTTTTGCAATTTCAGGTGTCATACAGAAAGTTAAACTACCTTAATCGAACAACTTTTGAATTTATTCAAGCTTAGATTACAACTTGTTTTCCTCTGCTTCAGACTCACCCTCTCCCTGGAAAATTTTCTCCAATTCGTCTTCCTAAAACCACAATTCCACTTCCCAAATTTGTTAATTACCTTACCTTGTTGCAAGCGGTACATACTTGCAAAGATTAAAAACTGTATGGTACAACTTGCAAGTAATTAAAAATTGATAAAAACTTAAAATTCCAAATTTGAAATCTTAAATTTGAGTAATGAAACCGCTGGGAAGGGGTTTGTAAAAGGGAATGACTATGCCCTAATTGATCATCATATAAAAAAAAAAAACACAATACGTACTCTTCACAAAAAATAAAAAACTACCTATTCTATTCAATTCCGTACAGAACCTTGTTGACAATGGGCAGAGCTTTGCACATAGCCTCCAAAGGCTGGGCTTTGGGCATTGTCATTCCTCTTCCTTCAGTCATGTCAACTTCCTCCTCACTTACCCTATTCCAGTCAAAGCACTGAATCATGGACCCCAAAGTCAAACTCAGCACTCGTTGGGCCAACCCTGCCCCAGGACAAGCTCTCCTTCCCAATCCGAATGGTAGGAGCTTATGGCTCTCCTTCTCTTCCTTCTCAAACCTCTCTGGTTTAAAACTTTCCGGTTCATCCCATGACTTTGGATCCCGGTGTATGGCGAATGCATTGACCAACACCATTGTGCCTTGTGGTACATCATACCCACCTATTGTGCAGTCAGCAGACGCCACATGTGGGACGAGTAGTGGTGCTGCTGGGTGAAGTCGAAGCGTCTCCCACATGATACTTTGAAGGTAATGAAGCTTTGCAACATCCGATTCTTCCATCAGC